TCTCTCTCTCTCTCTCTCTCTCTCTCTCTCTCTCTCTCTCTCTCTCTCTCTCTCTTCCTTTTTTTTGGTTTTTTTTAAGATCTTCTTCTGTTACAAAGTCGGCAATCAACCCTTAAAGTGGACGTTTTAAAACATCCTTAAGATTCATTTTCAGTTACTAGCCACTCTTTAGCGGTTTGCAGAGAAGGTGTTGGCTGATACGGCGAACGGTGGATATACTCATAAAAAAAATTACAGTGTTAGAATTACCATAACACGCGAAGTGACAGACATGTTTGCAATATTCTATAGGTATTTCGTATACCCAGATGAAGGTGTTCCAAATATGTTTGTGGAATAAAAAAACCCACCAAAACAAATAAACAAACAAACAAAAACAGGCAAATAGGGATGGTGGCGTTTTTATGTAGTTTTTTAATGAGGTTGGGTGTTGGGGGAGGGGGGTGGAAGGTGGGTAACTCCTTTTTATACAAGTCTATAATTTGTGGCCTTGTTAAGTTTCCCCACTAACAGAAGACAGATGGGGGGGGCTCTCGTGGCCTAGAGGTTAAGGTGTTGGCCTCTCATTCAAAGGTCCCGGGTTCGAATCCGGGTAGCGACCAAAAAATGTTCTTCTCTAAAATTGTCTCCTTTCACCTCCTTTCCTGCTCTCTTGCAATGTTCTGTTGTCTGCTTTCATTTCCACTTTTTGCCCCCACCCCCTCACCTCCTTTGCCCCCTCCTCTGGGCTCCTGACTCTTTCTGCAGCCTTTCTACTGCTACTCCTTGGCCCCTCCTTACTGCTGTCTTTCTGCCACACCCCTGATCTTCAGGTTGGAAAGATCTACACCTAGCCTTCTCGGACAAGGGCGAAAAATCTCGGAGGGCCCGTGTGCAAGTTGCGCACGTTAAAGATCCCTTGGTGGTCTAAAATCGATAAGAGTAGGCTTCGGCCGCCACCCGGGCAAAATTCAAAATTTCCTACCAACTGAAAATATTATGTGTGTCCCGCGGGCTCATATGACCTATGCAGTTGCGAGCGCCGTAAAACACTTTACAAAAACAAACGAAGACAGATTGTCCATATTATTTGATAGGGGAACTCGCTGAGTTAAAATTTTTTCGCACCAGTGTTTATATTATCGTAAGGCTATTGCTTGCTTGGTGTGAGATTGAGAAGTTCCGAAAAAATGTAGATTGAAATATCAGTCAGTCAGATAGACATAGTGTTTATGAGAAACGGATTTGGTTGAGTAGTATTTATTGATTGTGTGTTTGTTAATACTGAGTATATTATTGTATTTCTTGTATCGTAATAACAACTACTTTAATTCATTATGTAAAAATAAACGAACTAAAATGCTTTCCTGGTTAATTTTACCAGTGCGAAAGCAACAAGGACACATTGTTTGGATTTTATGTATACGACAGAGATGTACTGCTGCTACAGTGGGAAAAGCTCGTCAAACTTTGCTTGTGAAATGTGTGTGTTTACGTGTGTTTGTTTGTGTGTGTGTGTGTGTGTGTGTGTGTGTGTGTGTGTGTGTGTGTGTGTGTGTGTGTGTGTGTATGTTCGTATGTGTGGTTGTGGGGGAGGGGAACACGGCGGAGAGGGTAATTCCATTAAAAATGCAATGTTTACGAAACGCAAAATTAAATCTCCACAATTTTTTAATATTTTGTCGGGTGCTTTATGTGGTTCCTGAAAGACGAAAAAATAAAATGATACTCATCCAGACGATGACAAAATTTATGTGTCTGAAACAAGTCAGTGACAATTTATCACTATTCTGACCTTCACAAGATTACACTGTTTCCTATTTGGCTTATTCGAATTGTTATCTGCTGCTACTGTTACAAGTAGCCAAAATAATTATGTGACATCACTCGCAGTTACTATTGACACTGTCATGGACCCGATCCTTGATGTCGAAATTAGAGATAAAGGCATTGAAAAGCAACTAACATGTGAAGATCAACATGAAGATACAACATACTCGCGAGCTTGTGTGTGTGTGTGTGTCACACACACACACACACACACACACACACACACACACACACACACCGCCCCCCGGCACGTGCCCCCACACACGCTGTACCACAGATATTTTCCCCCCCTTTCCCCACACCCTCAAACAAAACGGCCCCCCCTTATGGAACCCCCCCCGATACACGGGTGGGGTATTCCCCTAGGGAAAAAAGATTTTATATTTTGTCTCCTTCCTTCCTTCCTACCTTCCCCCCCCCAAACCCCCCCC